TCCTGCGCTTCAGGGCAGGGGAAAGCAACTCACTAAAGTTCCATGGAAGTGCCCTTACGCATGTGAAAGTTTTGCAGCCACTGGGAATCATCCCATACCTGCAACACTATGCGGTCCCACCAGTCTGTGCTTGTTTGCCGGGCCCAGAATCGGCGTTCCACTGTATCCACATGCCCCAATGCCACCATGATATCTCAACTGCCACATCCCATGCTTTCAGGAACGTCTGTGTTCTTGTGCTGGCGGCTCCTAGCTAGGCTCTGCACATACTGCAGGATAATACGTGAGGTGTTTACAATGCTCACAAAAGCAGTGTGCAGGTGAGCGGGCTCCATGCTTGCCGTGCTATGGTGTCTGCACGGATAACCCAGGAAAAAAAGGGCGTGAAACGATTGTTTGCAGTTGCTTTCAAGGAGGGAGGAAGGGGAGGTGCTATAGAAGTGCAAAGTATTATAACTAAACAAAGGGCATGGGTCAAATTCTTTGCTGGTGTAACTCCATTGAAGTCAAATGAGGTATGCCAGCAGAAAACCTGGCAGACCTATCTAGATGGTGCACAATGGACAGATAGTATTACTAGCAATAGATCAGCTATAAGAAGTAGAGTGCATGGTGAAGCATGAATATGACCTAAACATTTTAGAGTATTTCACACTTCAGTTCACTCATATTTAAAAAGTGGAATCAAAAGTTTAAAGCTAGTTCTCAGATTTACTGAGGTGTATTTGGAAGTGAAGGTAGCTGCCGGAGCAAAAAAAACAAACAAACAAACAAAAACAAAGACACAAAACAAAACAAAAAAAGAGAGACATGAAATTTGCAGAAGTGGAAATAAATTAAATAGGCAATGGAATTTATAATTGATTATGAACACATGATCAATGAATGGGGAAAGTCAACAAAAAGGTGCTACAATGATTTACAAAAAAAATATTCAAAGTAGGAACAAGAATCTTGATAGCCGATATTCTTAAATACGTGTACATTTTGTGGAGATTAACAAATGACAAGAGATTTGACTAGTGCCCTAATCTGAACACAAAGTAATAACTCTGAATCACAATAAAACTCCACATTTCCAAATAAGGAGACAGGATGCCAATGAGCTGAAGTCACCTCAGTGAGGCAAGTCAGGAGATGGTACATGCTCCAGACATGCCCATCAAGTATGCACATCAACCAAAATGAATAATCTGCCCTTACACTTGTTCATTTTAGTCACTTTACTATTACTTGAATTCTCAGCACTGAGGAAAGCACCAATTTAAATAAGGGGGCATGTAAAGGAAACTTTTGATACAGCATGTTATTAATTAGCAGAAAGTGTGTCAGAGTATTATGTAGGCAAATATTTTAGTAACTTTCAATAACAGATTAGACATTTGAATGCAGATAGGTGGGATAAAATTATAAGGCCCAACTTTAGGGTGGTTTTATCCTGCTGGAGAAGTCTTGAGCATTGGCCACTATCAAAGAAAAGATAGCAAGACTAAATGAACCACTGGTTTATTCTGCTACAACAAGAGGTGATATACTGAATAAATATACCATTTGTCTTCTGATATGGCAGTAGGAATAGATACTGAACTAGATGGTGTTGGTTTATTACAGTACAGAAATTCTTACTGTGACGGTGCACTCCATATGATGTTATGAAAATATGCTAATGAATGTGAATATAATGTAATTAGAATATGCTTCATGCAAAATGTCTCTTGTAAGGTATCATTACAAAGCTTATAATCTACTGAGTGGTCATCCTATTTGTATAAATGTATCATTCTTCTATTTGAAACTAGAAATATGAAATATAACTCTGAGGTCCTATTGTAATTATGCAAAGTGTGGGCCATTAATGGTGGCTTGGAATCTTGATGGCTCCCATTAACCAGGACAATTGGTTGTGTGACAAAGTTCCAAGCCTGTATTGGTAGGTCCCGCATAGGGTGACCAGATGTCCCGATTTTGTAGGGACAGTCCCGATTTTTGGGTCTTTTTCTTATATAGGCTCCTATTACCCCCACCCCGTCCCGATTTTTCACATTTGCTGTCTGGTCACCCTAGTCCTGTGCTTCTGGGCAGATTCAGTGGCCTCAGAAACTTGATAAGGCCCCAATGTGACCTCCCTTTCTCAGTGTAGTGGCACGAGTCACAGCCTATTGAGTTACTTTCATCACCGGCCAATATGGGAGATGGGAAGGGAGAATACCCAACAGTCTCTGTTGCTTCGAAGAGCTCAGTAGGCACAGTTCGGCCTCCTGCCTGGACCAAGTCCTGCTTCCCTTCTCCAGGGGATTTCTGTAGAGTATGGGGGGGGGAGAAACCCAGGCCCACCCCCTACTCTGGGTTCCATCACAGGGACCCTAATGGTAGCAGCTGTTGGCGGCTTTCTCTTCACCACTGACGCTGCTTTGATTCCCTGGGCCACTTCCGCCATGGTCCCCTTTTCCTAGCTTCACCCTTACCTCAGGATTCAGCAATGCTTCCTCTCCTCCAGCTCCTTTCAACTCAGCTCCCTCGAGGGCACTGGAAGGAGAGCTTTTAAACACTATAAGTGGGACCTTGATTGGTTCCAGCTGTCTCCATTAGCCTAACGGCCTTAATTGGCAAATTGGCATCAGGTGTCTTAATTGGCCTGGAGTAGCCTTTGTTTGGCTATCCAGGGAACAGGGACCTGCTCATTCTGAAGGCTGATATACCTACCTTCCACCACTCTCTTATATTCCTCCGGTCTGAATCTGTCACAGTTGTAATGACTCTGTTTACTTGTAAGTCTTCCTGTATACCTATGTGCTGGCAAGCGGGTAATGAAGTCTTACAGTGACATGTGATCATGTCACCTGAACTGGAATCCATCTTTAACCTGGGGCTTTTCCATTTAGAAGGAGGGGTGGGAACCCAGAGAGGGACAAATGATTCCTGCATTGTGCAAAAGCTATATAAGGGGGTGGAACAGAACAAATGGGGCAGCAGTCATGAGAAATCCCCTAGCTACCACCTAAGCTGGAACAAAGACTGTACCAGGGGAAAGGATTGGGCCCAGACTAGAAGGAGGCTAGTCTGTCAAAGAAGCTTGTTGGAACATCTCTGAGGGTGAGATTTACCTGCATTTAGTTTTTTCTGTATTAGGCTTAGACTTGTGTGTTTTTGATTTATTTTGCTTGGTAGTTTACTTTGTTCTGTCTGTTATTACTTGGAACCACTTAAATCCTACTTTTTGTATTTAATAAAATCACTTTTTACTTATTAATTAACCCAGAGTATGTATTAATACTTGGGGGTGGGGGGCAAACAAATGTGCATCTCTCTCAATCAGTGTTATAGAGGATGAACAATTTATGAGTTTACCTTGTATACGCTTTATACATGGATTTATTTGGGGTTTGGACTCCATTAGGAGCTGGACATCTGATTGCTGGAGACAGGGGCACTTCTTAAGCTGTTTTCAGTTAAGCCTGCAGCTTGTGGGGGACGTGGTTCAGACTTGGATCTGTGTTTGCAACAGGCATGCATCAAACAAGGCAAGGTACTGGAGTCTCACGCTGGCAGGGAAAACGGGCTCAGAGGTAGTCCCAGAACACCAGGTGGCAGTCCCAAGGGGGTTTCTGTGACCCAATCCGTCACACTTACATTCCTAATTTTTTTTTTAAATGACTGATGTTTGTACAGGTAACCAAAGAATAATCTCCAGAGAGTAAGCAACAGTAAATCAAATTTTAGGAGAGAAATTTAAGGCTGAAAAAAGTTGCTACTTAAATATTTGTTCGTCAAAATGTTAGCATGAAAACAAATTCTTAAATTAATTGATGTTTAAATCCGTCTACATGGAACTATTTACTTTTATTTATTTCAATTTGGAAAAAAAAAACCACACCACTAACCAGAGTTCTAGGCTCGTGTAATTTGAAAAAATAAAACTATACCTCACTGATTATTTGGACCATTGGTGTGCCCTCTATAGGTTTGTCTATACAGCAAGTGGCAGCAAGTCTCAAAGCCCGGGTCAACAGACTTGAGCTCACACTATGGCACAAAAAAGAACTGTGTAGACATTGCAGCTCAGGCTGGTGCTCAGACTCTGAAGCCTTTCCCTAGGCTTCATAGCCTAGCCTGACCTGCAAAATCATCACAACTATTTTTAGCGCTGCAGCATGAGTCCCGTGAGCCCAAGACTGTCAATCCGAACTCTGAGACTCGTTGCTGCTCACTGGGTAGATGTACCTGAAGGAGATCAAAGAGGTCTCACTCAGCTCTCCTCACCGCACAGTATTATGGCATTATTTCACACCAAAGCAGTCAGTTAGAATAATAATCACTTACACTGACAGTGCAAAATTCTCAGAAGTGGCTAAGAGCTTAGGCATTTGTGAAAATTTTACCCATAGTGCTTTTCACCCCCACTAACCACTATATATACAGGAATCGCGTCACTCAATGAAATTAAGCTACCCTGCAATGCAGTATCTGTTTAACACAAATTAAGGCAACAATTAGGACAGGATGTGAACGTGAATCCTGTATCTAAAAAAAACTGCATGGGAAACTCAAGGAGACAGCTTTATGTGTATGTACTGCATCATCATGATACATGCCATCACACCCAAGGGGAAGAATTAGAAAATCACAACTGTAGAAATATTGGTTTGAATAGAGGTACAGGAAGACAGGTAGTGTTTCCGACTTAAGCAGGGTCCTTAGTTTGGGAACAGTTTTCAATCCATTATGTATTATTTCATGACAATATGGAGATTTCACACCTCAATTACAGATACAGAATCAATTAACTGAGATCTAAAGCTAAGTCTTTGCAAAGTCCTGTTAAATTGGTCTGACCATTCCACAGTTGTGGAAACTGTTATATTCACATCTTGCAGAGGCAGATGGGAGGTAGATTGTGGGGGAGGGAAGGCAGACAAAAGCTGTTGTAGACACAAAGTCTGCCTACAAGAAAACAAACAGGTGAACCCTCTCTCTTTTTAGCTTCTGCTTTCACCAAGAAGCCAAAGACAACAGAGGTAGTGGAAGGAAACACAGCTGTGTTTGAAGCAGAGACTGAAAAGACTGGCATCAAGGTAAAATGGCAGCGAGCTGGAGCAGAAATGTTTGAAAACGAGAAGTATATCATCAAGGCTGAGGGGAACAAGCATTCACTCACTATCAATAACATTGGAAGAGAGGATGATGCGACATATGCTGTAATTGCAGGGAGTTCCAAGGTCAAATTTGACCTCAAGGTCAAAGAGCCAGGTATGGTATCTCCTAAACCACTTTAGCTTATTCAGAATTGCAAAGTCAAGCATTCAGAAATCATGAGCTGGGCCCATAAAAATGAGATTTTAATAATAATAAATGTGAGGTTTATTTTTATCTGCCCTCTGGTGCCTGAATCTCACACATCAGCAAATTGTTTTTAAAAGTTCATAAATAAAAAAGTTACTTTTTCATCACTGCTGTTTCTATGTACATCACAGAAGCCAAAAGGTAGAAAAATTCTTCAAAACATCTAAAATTTGATATGTCAAAATTATGGCATTTAAAAAGTCAAACATCTCCGTTGAGAGAGAGAGAGAGAGAGAGAGAGAGAGAAGAGGGTTCTTAGCCACCCCAGCTCAAAGCTTGGCAAAGGTAAGCTATTTTTATCTGGTTAGAAACCTCATAAGGCTGGTACCTTCCAAGGCAGTGCACCTTCCAAGCTCTACAAGACAATAGCCAATTTCTTGTGCATTTCCTAAGGCTCACTGAAGAGATGCTCCTCTGCACAACTCTCGTATATCCCAGAAATACATGGCTTTCTGTAACCTTGCTTTCCATTCCATTTCAGAAAAGTCTGAGGCAGTTCTTCCTACTGAAGCTGTTTGTACCCCAATGGTCTCAGAGTCACCTACACCAGCAGAGACACAACCAGCAGAATGCAGCAAGAGTTCCGAAGGTTTAAAAAAAATGCTAGGACTAACCCTAATCCAGTGGCTCTCAACCTTTCCAGACTATTGTACCCCTTGCAGGAGTCTGATTTGTCTTGTGTACCCCCAAGTTTCACCTAATTTAAAAACTATTTGCTTACAAAATCAGACATAAAAATACAAAAGTGTCACAGCAACTATTATTGAAAAATTGCTTACTTTCTCATTCTTACCATATTATTATAAATCAATTGGAATATAAATATTGTATTTACATTTCAGTGTATGGTATACAGAGCAGTATAAACTAGTCATTATCTGTGTGGTAGACAATGGTAGAGATCATCCTTGAGGGATCGCTAATCAATCATGGTTGTATAAAATTTTAGTTTGTACTGACTTTGCTACTGCTTTTTATGTAGCTTGTTGTAAAACTAGGCAAATAGCTAAATGAGTTGATGTACCCCCCCCATTGAAGACCTCTGCGTACCCCTGGTTGAGAACCACTGCCCTACTTGACCCACTGAAAGAAAGAATAGGGACAAGGGATCCCAACATTGATGGTGGGGGAAAACAGGACCAGGAGGAAGAAGACAAGTGATAAGCCCCAGCCAAGTGGGAATAAGGAGCTATGGAAGAAATAGGAAATATCTGAGTGGAGAAGAATATTGAGGGAAACATTGAAATGATGTAAAGGATTCACTGTATAGATTAGAGGCTGAAATGGACAGAGTTAATAAATCCAGATATTTGTTTCAGTTCCAGCTCCAGCTCCTGAGGCTCAGCCAGAGCTGCCTCTGGACCCTGTTGGTCTCTTTGTGACACGGCCTCAGGATGGAGAAGTGACTGTCGGTGAGTAAAAGACTTGATTTTTGTAAGCTGCTAAGCTACTACCTTTGTCTCTCTATATATAGTACAATAGCAATGATCTAACAGAATACTAAACATCACTCACAGCCTTATCTTAACCTGTCTCCCTTTCAAGGTGGAAACATCACATTCACTTGCAAAGTGGCAGGTGCCAGCATGCTGAAGAAACCATCAGTGAAATGGTTCAAGGGAAAGTGGATGGACCTGGGAAGCAAAGTGGGGAAACATCTTCAGCTGCATGACAGCTATGACCGAAACAACAAGGTACAGCCAGCAAAGCAGAGCTCCCAGTCTCTCTCTCCTAGCCACTAACCTTTGTTCTGGGGGAAAAGACCTCTTCCCTGGTTGTGACATATTTTGGTACTAAGGTGCCCAAAATGGCACACAGTACCGTATTCTAATTATGGATACAGATCTATAGTCAGAGGATCTAGACAAAAATAGAGGCTCAAGGTAGATACTATCACTCCTCGGTTCCATGATAAATAATAATAGATTTGGAGAACAAAGATATTTGAGGAAAGGTTCAGCATATGTTCAGTTTGGAGAAGAGTCTGAGTGGAAGTTTGGTAATTGTATGAATACACAAAGGCATACCAGAAAGAGGACAGGAACACTCACTCAGCAGTGAATACGGAATAGGAATGCATGCAGCCGGAGAAAACAAAGAAATGTGTAAAAAACCCACATAATTATGATAAGTCAGTTTAACAATTTGAATAACAAGAACATCCAACATGACAATAGTAAGGATTTTAAAAAGAAGTTTGGAAAGCATCTAAACTTTAATTCTTCAGAGTGTAAGCCAACCTCTAACTAATTTGTGTTAGAAATAAATGCTCCTTGTGGGCACACGTAACAGGGTTCAACTCACTGCTGGGGCAACCGCATGTGGCTGCATCTGGGGAATTAGCTCTGCCTGGACTGACACACCTTTCTGTCACTCACTCACTCCATGGTGTCTCTCACTCTCTGAACTCAGGGTGCTCTCTCCTTGTCACTTGCTCACATCACAGCCACTCTTCCTCTCTAGGAGTCGCAGTGCTTCCGCTTTGTGGCTTGGCCCTCCAGCCAGGTCATTATACAGTTTTCCCCTTCCAGAAAAGTTTCACTGGACTAGGTGTCCAAGTGCCATTCTAGGCTGTCGTCCCATTCAATACTGTGCCACTTTCCCAGTGGGGGAACCCAGGCCCACCTGCTACTCCAGGTTCCAGCCAAGGGACCCTACAAACAGCGCAGACCTTGCCTGCTGATGTTTCCCTGGGCTTCTTCCTACTTTGCCATCTACAGGCTTTCTTCTCCACTACCCCTTTGGGTAAACCACTTCCCTAAGGGTCAGGATCCCAGGGCTTCTGTTTTCTCTCTCTTACCCGCAGGTTTCATTCTTCTCTCCTCACTAGGCCCAGAGAGTGACTACAGACTTTCACAGTGCAGCCCTCTTCTGCTCTCCACTCCCAGCTTTATACAAGCCGCACCTACTCCTGTCTAGATGGGCCACATCTTCAATTAGTGCTTGTCAATCAAGCCTCAGTCTCCTCCAGGTGCAGCCTTCCAGTAAATTAGCCCCTTCTGAGCCACTTTAAACCCTTCAGGGGTGGTGTGGGCTGAACATCTCATTGCAGCAGGTTAATCTGTAACGGCCTACTGCAGGGTTCCTTCCACCTGACTCTCAGGCAGCTGGTATTGGTCACTGTCAGAGATAGTATCCTGAGTTAGATGGACCACTGGACTCATCTAGTATGGCAATTTTCCATGATCTTATTGTATAATTATCCTTGCAGGAATATTCAGAGACACTAGCCACTCATACATTGGCGCTGAAATTGACTGCTTTATTACAGTGGGTAAATTATCATAAATTGCTCAACAAAAATCCATTCCCACCATAAATGAGTCTATAACATGAATTCTCTAGTCCAGAAACAGACAGACACCTGGAACAAAAAGAAGCCTGTAGTGCGTCACTCTCTCTCCCTGTAGGGATCACGCTAGTGTTATGGTTTGTGACATACTTGCTATGTGTATGCATCTCCACTTCCCTCAACTGGATGGAATATGATAGATTTGCCCATCAGTAACACCAATCCTTCTGAAGGCTGAATTTATGGAACTGCTCTATTAGCTGTATATAGAGGCCTATATTTTTTGGAGATGGAGGACCTGTTCCCCTTGGCCACAAGCATGCAGCTACTTTACCTGATGAGTGTGGTGTCTGTATGTATGCAATCACAGACTAGTACAACAGTACGATTTGCTGCTATCAACATCCTATCCCCTGGAAAACCTCTGCAGATAATGTCCTTGAAGTGTTCAAAGTGGATTAGAGAAATTTTACCTTTATGACAACTCCTCACCCAGCCACAAGTCAGATAGAGAGTTGCACATACAGGGAACAAAGTGGGGTTTTTAACGAATTCCAGCCTTTGTCTATCACTGTTAATGTTCTGGTGTGCTACATTTGTTTCTATGCATTTTTTACCCTTTTATTTTCTAACTTCCTTGCTCTGTGGGCTGATCTATTTTTTAGGTTTACATCTATGAAATGCACATTATCCAAGCGAAAATGACTTATGCAGGGGGGTATAGATGTGAGGTGTCTACAAAGGACAAATTCGATAGCTGTAACTTCAGCCTGATTGTCCATGGTAAGATTATATGTTTTCAACATTACAGAAATGTGTTGCTAAGTCAGGGGTGAAAGTGGGCCGGTACAGCATACTGGTAAAAAGCGGCCGCCGGTACCAGCCCGTACGCAGCTGACGTTAAAGCGCTACCGCGGCAAAGGACCCTGCTTAAAGCGCTGCCATGGCAATGCTTTAATGTCATTGCTCCTTCCCCACCCCCACCCCCAGGGCTGCCAACAGGGGGGTGGGTGCAAAAGGGGCAGCTGCCCCGGGGCCGGCGATTTAAAAGGCCCTGGGGCTCCCGGCCGCCGCTACTGTGGCAGCAACCGGAGCCCCAGGCCCTTTAAATCGCTGCCGGAGCAACGGGCAGCACGGGCCAGGCAGCTTGGATGGGCTGGCTGGGGGAGGCTGACCCCCAGCCCCGCCCCTTCCAGGGGCCCAGAGCCAGGACCCTGCACCAGAAAGAGTTTAATGTTACTTTCACCCCTGTGCTAAGTTAAGCTCTATCTTATCCTCACTCTGTCCTCCCTGTGTACAGAGTAACCTCTCTCCCCAATAAACAGTGGCCACCAGAAGAGAGTGTAGGTCAGGTTTGAGAGGAACTGGCAGAGCTATATGTAGGCCCAAAACTAGAATAGCAGGAGTGCAACAGATGTGGACTGAGATGCATTGGCAGGGCTATGGGGGAGGGAGATGGCCTCTAGAAAGAAAAGTAGTATGTAATTCAAGCCAGAATTGAGATGCACTGAAACAACAACATGAAGTAAGCTAGGGTTATCATATTCAAACATTTAAAAAAGAGGACACTCCACGGGGCCCTGGTCCTGCCCCCAGCCCCACCCCAACTCCGCCCCTTTCCCGGCCCCGGCCCCGCCCAACTCCACCCCTTCCCCACCCTCATTCCACCCCTTTCCCCAAAGTCCCTGCCCCAACTCTGCCCCCTCCTCTGAGCACCCCACATTCCCCCTCCTCCCTCCCGCTCTGATCTTGGTTGGGGGTTGCTAAGTGCTTCCCTGCTCCCCACTCGCCCTGCAGCCCCTGCACCCCCCCCCTCCTGCAGCCTCTGTGCCCCCTGCTCCCCACTGGCCCTGCATCCCCTGCATCCCCCCCCGCCCCTGCAGCCTCTGCGCCCCCCACCTGCCCTTCCCCTGCGCCCCCCTGCCGCCTCTATGCCCCTGCCTGCCCTGCTCCTCCTCGCCCTGCAGACCGTGTGCCCCCTGCTCCCCACTCACCCTGCACCCCTCCGCCCCTGCAGCCTCTGCGCCCCCATCTGCCCTGCCCCTGTGCCCCCCTGCCCCTGCAGCCTCTATGCCCCTGCCTGCCCTGCTCCTCCTCACCCTGCAGCCTCTGCACCCCCCTGCCTGCCCAGCTCCCCCGGCAGCCTTTGCCTGGCGGGGGCTTCGGATGCTCAGCGGCGACCGGGGCAGCGCGGGTCCCTGCAGCCCCGGCACACGCCGCACTCCCTGCCCCGCGCTGCAGCTTCCTTCCTGCCACGCAGGGTGATGGGGCTGCAGGAAGGGTCCCCCAGTGGCCGGGGAGTCCCCGCCCGTGAGGGAAGCCTGAGCCGTTGGCTGGGCCCGGCCTCCCCGTGGTCCTGCGGGCTCGGCTGGGGCGCGCGGTCCGCCCGGCCTCCGGGGGCAGCAGTGGCCCCTTCGCTGCCTTCTGCGGCTGTGCCCCCCCTTCTCCCGCCCGAGCTCGCTACAATGCGGCTGGGCTGCGCTGCGGACCCTGCGGGTCGTGCTGGGGCCAGGCGGACCCTGGCTTATGCTGCCTCCCTATTTCCCCGGACATGTCCGGCTTTTGGCAATTCCCCCCGGACGGGGATTTGAGTACCAAAAAGTCGGACATGTCCGGGGAAATCCGGACGTATGGTAACCCTAAGTAAGCAAAAGGAGAATTAGCCTATATTATTCTTGGCTTTATCCAGACTTCAGGCCCACACTTCCATGAGCACTAATTCAGTAAAATTTAAAAATAAAAGTCTGAGAATTAACTCCAGTCCTAGGTTGCCAAAGGCTCTGTATTTGAACATGGACATTTGAAAAGAAAAAGAAAAGGAAAAAAATCTTGGAAAAGTTCAGAAAGCTAACACATTACTTCCTTTCCTCCTGCCAAATTCAAGCACTGCAGGAGTTTCTGGCAGTATAAAATTGCAACAAGCATAGTTGACTAGTTTTAGCAAGGGATTTACTCTAAACAGTTGCTCTCGTGTGCCTGAGGACAGCTGTATTGTAAAAACTTACCAGTGATAAAAAGGGAAATACATTTAACCATCTATTTACCTCCGGTGTAGAATAGGTCACCAGGGATTTGGCTAAGACAGTGGGAGCATGATTCACCCTTGCTGGTGCAGTATTTGCACCACTCTCCTTCCTCAGGGGTTGTGTTGAGGAGTGGTAGTTTTAATTTGAGCCTGGGGCTCCATAGGAGCCTCACAGCACAGGCACTGACTTTTGTTTTTCCGGGTGGGTGCTCCAACCCCACTTCACTAGGGGGCCCTGCTCTCACTGGGCTTCTTCCTGTCACCGCAGGTATAGGGCAGGGGTCTGCAACCTTTCAGAAGTGGTGTGCCGAGTCTTCATTTATTCACTCTAATTTAAGGTTTCGCGTGTCGGTAATGCATTTTAACGTTTTTAGAAGGTCTCTTTCTATAAGTCTATATTATATAACTAAACTATTGTATGTAAAGTAAACAAGGTTTTCAAAATGTTTAAGAAGCGTCATTTAAAATTAAATTAAAATGCTGATCTTATACCACCAGCCTGCTCAGCTCACTGCCAGGCTGGGGTTCTGTTCACCTAGGCCGGCAGAGGGCTGATCAGGGCCTGCGGCCGGGACCCCAGACCTGGGGGTGGTGTTTCAGGGGTCAAGGCAGAGGGCTGGGGGAGGGGGTTCAAGGCAGAAGGCTGGGGTGTGGGGGGGTTTCAGAGATCAGGGTAGAGGGCTGGGGGGATGCAGGGCAGAAGGCTGGGTGTGTGTTGCGGTGTGGGGGCGGGGTTCAGGGCAGACAGCTGGGGGTATGGGGGGTGCAGGGCAGAAGGCTGAGTGTGGGGGGGTTCAGGGCACAGGGATGGGGCTGTGGGTGTGCAGGGCAGAGGGATGGGTGTGTGTTGGGGTGAGGGGGTTCAGGGCAGAGGGGTGGGGGGTGCAGGGCAGAAGGCTGGGGTGCTCGGCTCGTGGGGGTGCTCCCAGCCCCCTGCCCTGAGAGGCTCAGGGCAGGGGGCTGGAAGGGATATGCCCTGTTCCACTCCCTTCCCCCAGGCTCCGTCCCTACCTTTCTCTGCGTCCCCTACGGAGCTGTGTGCACGCTGCCGCTCTTCCCCTTCCCTCGCTAGGACCATCAGCTGATTGGCACAGGGACGGAGAGGAGGAGGGGAAGGAAAGGAGGGGGAAGAAGAGAGGTAGGGGGGAAGCTTGGCTGCCGCAGAACCAAGCTTCTGCCTCCTGCCCCCGCAGGGGTGAGCAGTGGGCGGGGGGACTGAGTGGGGCTGGGGGTCGGGACCGCGGCAGGGAGCTGCGTGCGACTCAAAATCGGCTCGCGTGCCGTGTTTGGCACGCGTGCCGTAGGTTGCCGACCCCTGGTATAGGGCATAGGTTGACTTTCAGTCACTGGAGGCTCTCCATCCTAGGCTATGCCAGCAGAAGCTGGTTTAAATTGGAGATTAATCAAACATTTTATAAGCAGCTTCCCAGCTGGAAACCTCTCCATGCTTCTGTTAATCAAGGGAATTTATCTTCTGCCTCTACAGATCGATTATAGTTCATTAATGGTAATATTACCATTTGGACCTTCTCTAGCTCCTTTCAACTGAGGATTTCAGTGCATTCATGATGTCAATATTCAGACCAGATTTTACAGAAGACAATGTGACTTTCCCACTGTCAAACTACAAATTAATGTGAAGCTTGAGATAGAACCCCAGACAGTTACTTGCACTAATCATGGCCACCATTCACTAAGTGATTAATCATAGTTAAAATATAAGATCTTTGAAACAAAAATAGCTTGAAAGGAAAAACTTTTGCAGTGGTGCTGTCTCTTTTTCAAGAACACTCAACTGTTTTCCTCACCCTCCTTTTCTGTTGTATGCCACATCAGAAGCACCAGCAACAGGAGACATGGATATCCGCACTGCCTTCCGACGAACGTGAGTAGGAAGCTTGTGCTTCCATCTGGAATTCATTACCTTCCTAGACAAGATCATGTATGAGGAAAACTGTTGTACAAATAGCTATTATTACAAAGATATATGTAAGTCTATAGTGCAAGTGTTTCTAAGGCTAAAATGCCACCCTTGACTCCTAGACATCATCTAAAAGAGGTTGGCTCCTTACTATGCAACAACAATCCCAATCTTCAATTATTTCACAGATAATGAACATAGTTTTTCTAAGAATTGCGCTAATTTTTTCTACAGTGTGAAAAGAGCATTTCAGGTACAAATCAACAGGGGAGCTAATGATCCTATGTTGTTCCCAGGCTGTATGGCTTGGACCAAGCAATGCTTTCCAAAATGGTTTAGGTGAGCCTGAGGATCCACTTGTGTCTTAAGACACTCTTGCACTAGACAGGGATCAAGAGTTTGGACATAAACACTTTAAACAGTATATAGCTGATTAATAAAATTAAATATAACCATACTGTAATGTTTTGTAATTTTATTACCCGATTGAAGTGCAATCAATGAGATTTTGAATGTATGTGTGAATGGTCAGGTATATATACACACCTCCTAGACTATTAAGAGCCACAGGTAGGGTTGCCAGGAGTCCAGGCCGCCAGAAGTCTGGTTGGGCGCAGCGCCCACGGGGCAGGCAGGCTCCGTGCCCAGCTCTCGGGAAGCGGCTAGCTCCGCGCGCTGCCCCCACCCGCAGGCGCTGCCCCAAGCGCTGGCTCCGCAGCTCCCACTGGCTGCAGTTCGCAGCCAATGGGAGCTGTGGGAGTGACGTCTGCGTCAGCGTGCTGAGCCCCTTGGTCACCCCTCTGCCTAGGAGCTGGAGGGACATGTTGCCACTTCCCAGGAGCCGCTTGAGGTCAGTTGTGCCTGGAGCCTGCACCCCAAACCCCCTCCCATGCCCCAGCTCAGAACCCCCTCCCACACTCCAAACTCCTCAGTCCCAGCCTGGAGCCTCTTCCCTCACCCCAAACCCCTCATCCCCAGCCCCACCCCAGAGCCCTCACCCTTTCCCACACCCCAAACCCCTGCCCCAGCTTGGTGAAAATGAATGAGTGAGCAAGGATGGGGGAGAGCGAGTGACTGAGGGAGGGGAAATAGAGTGAGCTGCGGCCTTGGAGAAGGGGCAGGGCAAGAGTGTTTAGTTTTCTGTAATTAGAAAGTTGGCAACCCTAGCCCCAGGGCATTGCATAGGTTTTGAGAAAGGCCACTCTTCCCAGATCTGCAATAAATTCTCAATTGACCTAGGAACTCTTAATACAGCTGCCCTGACCGCTATTGGTTAAATTGAAAGAGCTGTTACCGATTTTTGGTAAAGTTTAGGAAGTAACTTGCAACTATATTCATTACTGAAAATTCATTTATCTTGTGTGTAAATCAGTGTTTTTTCCCTAAGTTATCAATAAAAAACACTCCAACAGCCCTCAGCTGTAACAAGTACAGTCCACCAGGGCAATATGTGCTATCCCTTAAAGAATTTTAACATGATATTTACTGTGCTCCCAATAGCAGCTACAGTGAAATTTATCACTCCAGCACTTATTTCACCTGAACCAATTTTCCTAGTACAGGAGAAAATCCAGCACAGTCAGTTGCTTGTGCTTTTCCACAAGTTATTATTATATGAGATCTGCCTTTTACACTCAACTCTATCACAAGGAACCAAGAAAAGTCTTGCAGACTTTAACTAAACAGTAATTATGGAATCCATGTGTGCAGCTGGTCAGTCCTGCTGTGATACCGGCTGATTCCACTTGAACATAACTCTACATGGCCAAGCCTTTGTTGTCCTTTATTTAGCATTCAACAGTTCCTCTTCCTGCTAGCAGGATAACGAAAGCAACAAATCTAGTGCTAGTGAGTGCAATGTGGGTGTAAAATCATAACAAATCTTTTGGATTCAGGGACTTTTAGGTCAGCATGGAGGAAGCATAACTCCTTCCCATCAAAACCCCTGTCACAAAACAAATAACCATATTTATCTTTGCTCCATCTGTGAGTCAGAGCTGAAGACTGAAGATTCCTTCCTCCTTTACTAGACTGTATTAGGAAGTCTCTGTGAAGGGACTGCACCAGATTTTCATTTACTGCCTTTACTGTCCAGCAGAACGCAAGACACAGAGACACTGCATTACACAACACCTTTTTGCAGAGTTTGACTATAACTCAAGGAAGGCCCAAGATCGCCCTGCCCATTTGATTGGCAGGATATTTAGGATTCATTTGTCTCTATGAAACTGAAGGGAGGTATTTGGACAGCCAAGCAAAAACTTGTAGATGACTCAAGACATTCCTTACGACAAGCTGTGAATGTACAGAAGGGTTAGAATGTCTGACCCCACCATGCAGCTGCATGGACTAGGCAGTAGTAATTCTCCCTTTGGAATGGAAAAGGCTCCTTTGGGACAGAGCACTTCTAAAACTACTCCATACTTGCCAGTGGAGCTTGGAGTTTGAGGATCTTAGGTTGTTCTATGAGAAGGCAGCAGAGATTAAACTGAAGTGCATAAATCTAAAGTGCTGTTTTTGTGACTCTCACTCAGGAGCCTGGTGGGAGGAGGAAGACGGATGCCTGCAGCCTGTCACAGGTAGCCCAGGTTTCTGCCAGCAGTCAGACCCACGCCTCAATGAACTCTCTCTCTCTCTCACCAGTAAAGAGAATCAGAACTTGCTGCAGATTTAAATTTGAACATCTGAATTCATTACAATAAATAAATAAATAAATAAATATACTTCGCTTTTATTCGTGACTAGAAAACAAAAACAATGATCATGTGAGACAAGCATAAAGCAATGAGACGAGTAGAGAACTTTGATGCTTCAGTGAGAGAGATTCATTTACAGGAAGGGTACATGCTGGACATATGGCACCCTCTTAGAATTGTGACTCTGAAAAATCTCAAACTGAATACATGCCTGCCCTTCTATCAGACACACATCCTGATTACACCTCCCTCACTGTTCCCACACAAATTCTCACTTGGATATGAAAATATACCGGTGTGCTATCCCATCCCCCTCTGTTCCTAGTGCTTTCAGATGTCCTATTTCACAAATGTATAACTCTTTCATTGCGTTTCAGAAGTTAAAGAAGTTTCAGAAGAGCTCAGCACCCACAAAGCTCAGCTCCCATTTAGGCACCAGAAAAAAGTGGCCAGTTTTTCAAAATAGGTAGCCAGGATTTTCAAAGAGCTTAACATGTTGGGTGCTGGGATCTTCAGAAAAATCTGGTCATAAGTGTCAGAATAGGGGCTGCTAGATGCTCAATTCTTTAGAAAAATCTACCTGAATTGTGGATGCTGACCATTTGAAAATCTAGCCTTGAGCTATTTTGAAATCTGGCTTAACATTAGTGACTTTATCTATGACTAAAGCCCTCTGCCATTCAAGTTGTTCTTATCAATCAATACACCCATCAACATACTAGAGTGTCTAGGCACCACATAGGGAAAATTAACCCTTGGAGTGTTGTTCTATTCTGAAAGCAACTATGTAAAAATGGCACTTTTATAATCAAAAGATCTTTCCCCAATGCATGTTAAGAATCAGATCTGACTAAAATAAGTTTTTACTGCTGTTAACTCCAATTAACCTTGCAGTGTCAATGCAACTCCGAAGGTGGGAGATGGATTCTATTCCCTCTTTATCAACAGAATTGTTTACTAAGTTTCAATCTGTTGAGGCGGTTTCTTGCATTTGCTCCTGACACCTTAAGTTTCTCTGGCCTAGTGTCTACTGGCATTCAGCAAGATTACTTCCTCTTAAGCAATCAGTGCTGGCAAATATTGGAGACAGAATAATGGGCAACATGGACCAAAAGTCTGATTCAATAATGGCAATTCCTGTGTTCTTAAAGCAATAATGTATGCAACACAGGATGTCACTTGAGGGCCATATTAAAAAAAATACATAAGATATTGTTGTTTTAATGCTGTCCCAACTCATAAAACAGTTTCCACATCCCCACATCTATAGTCCCCAGAAAGCACTTATAATTCTAAAGGAAGATCCCTGCAATGCTCCAAAAATTTCCTGGGGCATGTGGGAAATGTGTTTATTGGTCTACTGATTATATGCATGAAATCTTTTCTTTTAATTCAGGAAAAGGGGGATTACAACTATATTCTAGATTAGTATTTGCCACTAAATTAGTCACAGTGTATGATTTCCTCTGTAAGCCGAGCAGGAGAAATTCAGGCTCAGTAAGTGCACTTCTTAAATCTATATAAAGGCCAACAAATAGGAAGAGAGAAAATCTCCAGATTTCTAAAAGAAAATGGCTGCAATACCAATGAACATTCTAGAGTCTCCTACTTCCCTTCCAATGATACATCTTATGCTTATGAGAAAATTCTGGCCAATTCATTCCCCATCTCCTTGTGACACTATTATATTTTTCTGTTACTATATAGTGCAGAGGGACATGAAGATGGTGCAGAGCTGGATTTTAGTGCCTTATTGAAAAAGAGGTGAGTGAAAATCTACAGTCTCAGAGCAATAAACTAACCAGCTCTTGCAGAACAGCCCTGGAAGACGTTAAACCTAAAGCAGGTTAACGTTCCCCCAATTCATAATTCCCTTAGCATACCCTAAAGTTTATCTAGTATGGAGAAACCGGGACTGGTAGATTTGTGAACTCTCCTCAGACAGCAATACTTCACCATTACTTACTGCATCTCTAGACTGCGTCTTCACCAGTAAAAAAGGTGTCTTTTACATCAGAGATAGATAATTTGTAAAAAACACACCTTTTTTATTTGTGAAAATACAGATGTAGAGACTGGAACTGGAGTAGCTGTAAGCTTTCTACAGCACCTTCTGCTGGAAAAATGTAAGGACTGGAACAGCTGCCTTTGGGATGTAGTGTTTGACTGGAGCTTTCTATTCCTGAGTTGTCACTGGGATTGGAGAGTTGGGGAAATCAAAAATCTGTTTATAATAAGCAATTGTGACTTTTCCCATTCTGATTCTTCTTCCTGGCTTCCATTCTCTCCCCCCCCCCCCATTTTATTTTATGACATCTCCTCCCTCTCTCATCCCTCACTGCCTTCCTCTGATCTGCCTACCTGTGCTTCACTCTTTTATCCTGCCATCTCAATCTGGACACACTGCTTCGGATTCTGTTGTCTAAGACAGAGAGTAAGATTTCTATTTCATCTCATTATAAAATGCATGAGACAGACTGAATAAAAGGTTCATGTGGTTTGAATAATGCATGAGACTCCCCTTCTTTCACATGTGGAGCATGGCAAATTCCCTAAACCTTGACAACTTAGAGGAGGGTATCACCTACTGATTTCCAATCCAGAAATGCTTTTAAACAATTAGTGCAGTTGGAAGTAATGAGGGGGGAGATTCAATTCATGTCCTCTCCTACACTGCTTTTATGTTTCAACCACCCCTTTCTTTTAAAGGCACTTTTAAATTAGGCTTCAGTTTCCAGATTCTCTTAATAGTCCAAGACTTCAGTTCTATATTCCTAACCCATTTGCACAGAAATCAGAGATGGAAAAGACTTCTTTGATCACAATTAGTCCATTCACCTAATTTAGAAGTCAGTACAGGATTGTTCCCCACAAAAAATGGTTACTCACCTTCTTGTAATTGTTGTTCTTCAAGATGTGTTGTTCATGTCCATTCCAATCAGGTGTGTGTGCGCCGCGTGCACGCCAGCCGGAAGATTTTTCTCTTAGCAGTGTCCGTAGAGTTGGCCTGGGCGCCCCCTGGAGTTGCATCTTCATGGCACCCAATATTGGGCCCCGCCGACCCCCCATCTCCACAGTTCCTTCTTGCCAGCTGCGCCGACAGAGGGGTAGGAGGGTGGGTATTGGAATGGACATGAATACCACATCTCGAAGAACACCAGTTACGAGAAGGTGAGTAACCGTTTTTTCTTCTTCGAGTGCTTGTTCATGTCCATTCCAATCAGGTGACTCACAAGCTAAAGTTCAGGAGGTGGGGTTGGAGCCATCCACTGATTGGAGCACAGCTCTTCCGAAGGCCGTGTCGTCTCTGGCCTGTTGAGTCATCGCATAGTGGTGGTGAAAGTGTGTATGGAGGACCACGTTGCTGCCCTGCAGATTTCCTGTGTGGGGACCTGTGCCAGGAATGCTGCTGAGGAGGCCTGAGCTCTGGTGGAGTGTGCGGTGATTGGCAGAGCGGGCACCTTCACCAAGCTGTAACACTCCCTAATGCATGACACGATCCACGACGAGATACATTGCGATGAGACAGGGAGGCCTTTCATTCTATTGGCCATCGCCACGAATAACTGGACGGACTTTCGGAACAGCTTCCTTCTCTCGATATAGAAGGCTAGCGCCCTGCAGACATCCAATGAGTGAAGCCTCTGCTACCTGCTGCTGAAATGCAGCTTAGGATAGAATACTGGGAGGAAGATGTCCTGGTTGATGTGAAACTGGGAGACAACCTTAGGGAGAAAAGCTGGGTGAGGTCTGAGCTGAACCTTATCCTTATGGAATACAGTGTAAGGGGGCTCTGATGTAAGGGTCCTGAGCTCCGACACTCTCCTAGCTGAGGTTATCGCCACCAGAAACGCCACCTTGTATGAGAGATAAAGCAGGGAGCATGTCGCCAGTGGCTCAAATGGTGGACCCGTAAGTCTGGAAAGGACTAGATTAAGGTCCCAAGCTGGGATAGGCTGTTGTACTTACGGGTATAGTCTGTTGAGACTTTTAAGGAAACAGCTGACCATCAGGTTCGCAAAGACTGAGTAGCCGTCTGCGCCTGGATGGAAGGCGGAGATGGCGGCCAAGTGAACCCTTATCAATGACATGGCCAGTGCCTGTTGCTTAAGATGGAGGAGGTAGTCCAGTATAAATGGCACTGAGGCGAGCATCAGAGACTGATGGTGCTGCTACGAGCGGATGGAGAATCTCTTCCACTTGGCAAGGTACGTCGCCCTTGTGGAGGGCTTTCTACTGCCAAGGAGAACTTGCTTGACTTGATCAGAGCAGGACAGCTCCACCGTGTTCAGCCATGAAGCTTCCATGCTGTGAGGTGGAGCGACTTGCGGTTCGGATACCGGAGGCGGCCGTGATCCTGCGTGATTAGGTCCGGGACGAGTGGTACGGTGACCGGAGTTGCCACAGACATTTCTAGGAGCGATGTGTACCAGTGCTGGCATGGCCAGATTGGAGCTATCAATATCACCAGGGCTCAGTCCCTGTGGATCTTGAGGAGCACCTTGTGAATGAGAAGAACAGGTGGGAACGTGTAAAGTAGACGGCCCCCCCATGGAAGAAGGAAGGCATCCGCGATGGAACCTGGGCTATGATTCATGAAGGAGCAAAATAGCTGACACTTCCTGTTGCGTTGTGTGGCTAACAGGTCTATTTGGGGAAAACCCCAGTGTTGGACGATTGAGCTCACTATGTCTGGCCGGAGGGATCATTCCTGGCCTCCTCTGCCTTTAGATCCACAAGTTCTTCAGTCCAATCTACTTCCCTAACTAATTTCCTTAATTCTTTAAAGTTAGCCCTTTTGAAATCAAAAACCCTAGTCCCAGATCTATTTTTGTTTATCCTTCCATCTAGTTCAGGGGTCGGCAACCTACGGCACGCGTGCCAAACACGGCACGCGAGCCGATTTTGAGTGGCACGCAGCTCCCTGCGTGGTCCTGACCCCCAGCCCCACTCAGCCCCCCCGCCCACCGCTCTCCCTTGTGGGGGCAGGAGGCAGAAGCTTGGTTCTGCGGCAGCCAAGCTTCCCCTCTCCCCCTCTTCTTCCCCCAGTGGTGCTTTCCTGCCCCTCCTCCTCTCCGTCCCTGCACCAATCAGCTAATGGCCCTAGCGAGCCACTCAGGGCAGGGGGCTGGGAGCACCCCCACGAGCCGAGCACCCCAGACTTCTGCCCTGCACCCCACACCCCTCTGCCCTGAACCCTGGTGCGGCTCCCCTGCGTGGGTGGGCCATGCCAGGGAGAGCTAAGCTGGGGATGGGGATCAGTGGGCCATCACTGCTGGTTTGCCCCTTGACTGAAACTGGGGCCGCGCAGTCACCGGCAACTTGTCTCTCCTCTGCGGGGAGGACGGCGCTGTGAGGCATATAAGGTCCTTGGCTGCCTTGAATGCCTCCAGTGTCAAGGGGAGCTGGAGGTCATAACCTTGGCGGTCTGGGGACCGTTGAGGGTTCGGACTCAACTGAACCCCAGACGTGGCAGGAGTCAACGAGACCCTGGAGGGCTGGAGAGACGAGGTGGCCTGGCTCAAGATGCTCTTCGATGCCGCAGGTCCCTTTGTCTTTAGGGGGGAGAGCGACCCCTATCCGGCCTTTTCTTCTTTTGACACACCAGGGACTGAGAACAGTGCCACAACGAAGAGGGTTTTTTATGGGAGGAGCCGTGGCGGTTCTGTGATACTTTAGGGTCTTTGCTCAGCACTGGCTCACACACCATTGGCATCGGAGCACTGCAGACTGTCGAGGAAGGGCTCGGCATGGGTTCTGCGGACCTGGGGTTGGAATGCGGTCGGAGTGCCGCTTCCATTAGCAGGATCTTAAGTCTTTGATCCCAGTCTTTAAGGGTTCTAGAGCAAAAACCCTTTCAGATCCTGCACTTGTCCTTTTGGCGGCTCTCCCCAAGGCACCGTAGACAAGAAGAGTGCAGGTCACTCTTGAGCATAAACTTGCCACAGTCCTTGCAGAGTTTGGACCCTGGGGACCAGGGCATACCCCAGAACCGGGGAAAATGTTGTTGGGGGCAGGGGGGAACCCCCAAGAATCACAACAACTACAACAACAAACTATTTAACAATGAAGACTGAAGAGGACGCTACCAAAAGCGCTTGCAAAGCAAGAGCGACAGTTGTTCTTACTGCTGGTGACAGCTAGGTGGAAGGAACTGAGGGTGTGTGTGTGGGGGGGGTCAGCAGGGTCCTATATTGGGTGCCATGAAGGTGCGACTCCAGGGGGCGCCCAGGCCAACCCTACAGACATTGCTAAGGGAAAAATCTTTCGGCAAACCACACACCTGATTGGAATGGACATGAACAAGCACTCGAAGAAGAATATATATTCCAATGTTTTGTTCAGTACACTCTTAAACATTCCAAGTGATGGAGCTTCCACCACTTTCCATAGGAAATTATTTCACAGTCTGGTAGATCTCACTATTATAAAATGTTCCCTTGCTTTACAACTAAAGTTTCCTTTGCTCATCTTCAGGTCATTGCTACTAGATATATTCCTTAGGATCACCACGCACTATTCCTCTCCCTCAATATTTAAAATCTTCAAATTATTATTGACAGATGTGCTTGAGTTGCTTTTTTTTGCCAAGTTATACGCAGTTAATTCTTTCAAGTTTTCCTCAATGCGCTATTTAGCCAACTCTCTGTTCTTGATTCTAGGCTTAGTCTCTGCTCACGTGTTTTGGCTCCATTTATAATAGAATGGAACTGTGTTTATGTAGATTAAGATCCAGTAGAAAGCAAGTAGCAAAACTCTTGTTAATACAGGATTGAACTTGAGGTCTTTAAATTTCTGCCTCTTGGGCCTCATTTATTTTCAGATATACCACATACTACTGTGCTAACTAGATAGGGACTCTGCCCTCATAATGCCATCATAGACAGCACTCCTACATAGGTGGAGCCTGCTCGGAGAGGCTGGAACTACAGCAATTGAACTATCCAGAGCCATGACCTCTATACCAGTTGTTTCTCAACTGGTGGGTCATGATGACCTCCAGAGGGGTCAGATAAAGCAATCATGGGGGGGGGGGGGGGAGCAAGACACTGAAAATGTTATTACAATTCTAAAGCAAAGACAATAAAAATTCCAGAGTAACTTCAGAGTGGCCAAAGCCTTCAGAGTTTGTGAGGTCAAATGCAGTAGTTTTGGTAGCAGTTGTATGCAGCGGCGTATTATCGCCTAGGCTGACAAGGCCTACGCCTAGGGCGGCAAATTTGCAGGGGCGGCAAATTTATGGGCAGGTCTTCACTACCCGCCGATCTATTGGGGATCGATTTATTGCATCTCGTCTAGATGCGATAAATCGATCCCCGAACGCACTCCCGTCGACTCCGGAACTCCAGCTCATGAGAGGCGGAAGTGGAGTCGACGGGGGAGCGGCAGCGGTCGACTCGTCGTCGTCCTCACAGCCAGGTAAGTCGACCTAAGATACGCCGACTTCAGCTACGCTATTTGCGTAGCTGAAGTTGAGTATCTTAGGTCGACCCCGCCCCCCTAGTGTAGTAGCAGCTCACCTCCGCCTCCACCATGAGCGCGCCGCTGCGTCCTGCTTCTCCCCCCTCCCTCCCAGCGCTTGCGCCGCGAAACAGCTGTTTCGCGGGGCAGGGAGGGAGGGAGGAGGAGGGGGAACGCGGCACACTGGGGGAAGAGGTGGGACTGGGGTGGGGATTTGGGGAAGGGATCCAATAGGGGCAGGGAGGGGGCGGAGTTGGGGCAGGGACTTTGGGGAAGGGGTTAGAATGGGGGCGGGGAAAGGGTGGAGTCAGGGCGGGGGCAGCAATTATTTCAGGGCCTAGGGGTGGCAAAATCATTAATCCGCCACTGGTTGTATGGATTTTTAACTCTTATTTTAGAATAAATGAAGGGGGTCATAAGCATTTTTACTTCAAATAAGGTTTGCCAGTCTGGAAAGTTGAGAAACATTGCTCTGTACCATTCCCTAAAGCTGGGAGAAGAGGGAAGTGCAGGAGTTAAGAACACCTCTAATGGAGCCTTCCTTCTGCTTTCATGGTCAATTTTAGTGATCAGCAAGTAGACACAATTTTTTCTTTTAATTGAGAATAATCTCCAGTAATCTCCAGCAATAATCTCATGATATTTGACCCTTTGGGTGAGTTAGCTATCATTAATATTAAACTAAAAACCATGACTCAGGAAATGATGCTTTTAACTATCACTGCATTTTTACATTGCATTAATGATTCCTGAAAGGCACCAAGCCTCTTTATGGGGTGAATATGTGCTCCTTTGAAAACACAACCGGAGAAACAAACATGTTGAACTCTCAAGTGCTGCAGGGAGGTAGAATGCAGGAATGACACCTCTGCCATCACCTTCTACTTTTGTTCCACCTTACCCATCATCAAGTGCTTCTCTGCCCAGACGGTGCACATGTTCACTGTCGTGGAGAAAACTTCATTTAATATTGTGCAGGAGTTGTATTTTCTGGCCACTGTAATTTAATTAGCTGGTGTTGACACACAGGTGCCATAGGCCACAGAGAGGTCATGGGGAAGGGGAAGGGAACAGTTTTCACAGTACTATTAAACAGGATAGTGAAGAGACCTTGAAAGAGATGACAGCTGACAGGGTCCAAGCAATCCTGGGTAACAGGATAGGAAGGAACCATCTCTGGGATATACAAAACTATTTTTAATATCCTCACACGCTTAAAAAAATATCAGCTGCCTGTACTGTTTACAACAGGTTCACTGAGCTTCATCTTAATGTCCTCAAGTGCACAGTCAACCTATGAAGTGATCCCTGCAGCTAAGACCCTCAACATCAGGGAGAATGACTTTAGGGCAGGAGAAACCTAAGGAGCCCAAAGTCACCACATTAAGAGCACTCCCCTCCCTGAAATGCTTAGCCTGGGAGGGTGTTACTCCAGCTGGGTGGGAGAGGTCAGTCTATTTCTGTGAATACTACAAATCCTTACTGGAACTAAGAGAATGTTTTAATAAAGTTAAAGTGGTGACAGGGAGCATTAGAAATGGGGAAACATGAAGCCCGGAACTTACTGGAGGAGACAGGGACATGAATTCTGAAGGGTCATGAACAGGAATTTCCTGCTTCTAAGTGCTCAGTTCTACACTATTTAAATGGTGATTCTTGGCTGTAAAATATCTTTTTTATTATGTAGTGGCAATTTACAAGCCAGTCCATGCTCTGGAAAGCTAGAAAACACTTGATATTTACAAACAAGGCTGAGACTGCACTTTGGGGAACATTCAGGTCTCTTGCATTTTTGTTCACATAAACATGGGTTTAGGGTGGGCTTGACACAGTTAGGGATTCTTGCTGCATGATTTTTATTCAGTTAAATATTTGGATTGTATATACAATACCAACTACTTAAAGGTAAGTCTTGCAGGACCCACAGCAAGATCTCATTAGTCCTTACAAGTGCTGTGGGATTTTTGTTTCAGTTATTATTTATGCAACATCGGGTTACATGACCAGGTACAAAACAGAGAGGGAGACAATTGGCCAAATTTTCTGCTCGTGTAAATAGGTGCAGCGCCATTGACTTCAAGGGGAGTTTTGACCAGTTATGCTAGCAGAAAATTTGGCCAATAGCTTTTGCCCCAAAGATTTTTAAAATGAGTTATAATTTAAGAAAGCACCTCTACCAACTTCCCATAGGCATGAAGTACAGTCCATAGGTGATGATATGGTTTACATGAATGAGGCAATATTACAATAAATATATATAGCTTGGCTACACAATGACTAAGGTGGATAAAATAATTCTCTATAATTATAGAGGGATATAAACACCAGGAATGGAGAGGAGTTGTTTCAGGTGCTCCAACTAAGTATAACTAGAAATAATGGGATGAAACTGAGCAATGGAAAATTTAAGTTGAATATTAGAGAAATCATCTTGACAGTGAGATGTATTTGGTTGGGGAACAATCTCCAAAGTGGAAGACTTATTTGCATTTAAAAATAACCTAGACAAAGTATGAACAATCCTACCTTAAACTTTCAGGTGGACAGTGCATACACGTTAGCTGAGAGAGAAAAAACTAGATTTGACCTAATACAGATTTTTTACATTCTAGGATTCTATACTTATTTTTGAGCCACTGTTTCCTCAACAGAGCATAATTGCTCCAATGCAGACCTCACATTTATAACTAGGAAACATGTATTTAGACAGTATTATAAATGTTGCTTGTTCACATTATCAAGAGCAAGCAAGCCCAGAGTGCTTGGTATGTTGAAAGTTCTTAGACTATCTGGTAAATGGTCTGTTTTTTGGTTGGCAGGGCACAATTTTTAATTGTATTTTGCCTAGCAAAAACCAGTGGGGATATGTAGTGGGGAGGGAGCTGGCTGAGTTTCTGGAGGATGTAGATATGCTCTAATGAGGAAACACCTCCACTGTGGCCTGTATTTGTAACAGAATACTGGCCTGAGATCCAACCAGTCAATCCCAGTAATAGAGGATGTTAAACCACCTTAAAGAATAATTCTCTAAGTATAAGACTTTACATGCCAAGTTTCAGCTCAGAATGACTGAAGTGCAAGCTGCAAGCTGGACACAGATACTGGAAACCCTGATACTTGATTGCAGCACTATAATAATAGTAGAAATCCTGTTACAAACACCTTCCTAAGAAAAACACTGGAATATTAGAACCACCTCGTTAAATCTGCTGCCAAGACTAACCCTCCATACTCCTTTCATGCAGTGACATTCCTCACAGAGATTAATGGGAGATGTTCCTTCTCTGTAGACATTCACAGCATATCATATAAATGAAAACAAAACTAAAGAGTCCTCTAAGTTTCTCTTCACTGCCTGCTACGTAGCTTGTGTGTGATTGGGGTGCGGGGTTTGGGATTCATTACTGAACACAGCCTTATTACATGCGTATATTCTGCTGCACTGGAATCTGCTTGATCCTGGTGATATCAGAAACAAGCTCCACCTACAAGGAGTTCTAAGACATCCAGATTTTCCCTCCAGGATTCTGGAGCCTGCATGTCTTGTCATACCTCCCTCATCCTTCAGAGGAATTCACCATACCCTGTCTTTTGTGAGAAATACGTTGAAAGAAGTCAGGCAGAAAGTCCATTTTTGGAATGAGGATAATGACATAAATAGTCTCACTTTGCCCTATGAGGCTATCTCCCAGTAGCACAAATAAATTGTGGTGTTTACATCTGCAATATAAACTGCAAGATGGAACTCTACAGAGTTTGGGAATGAGGCTGATTTCAGAAAATGCATTTATTCTTGAGTATATTTCAGTGCAATATATCCATCTCCCTGCTGCTGAAATGCAGGCTTTTTCTGCTAATGGTGGAGATGATGATGGCTCTCTTGTATTAACACATGTTGCCCTCTTTCCTGCCCATGGGGATGCTGCATGCTTTTCCAAATGCTTCTCTGCATCGCTCTCGAGTCCAGCAGCTTCTTGCGCTCAGTAAATCGGTAAGTTTTTAATCAATCTTCAAATAATATATACTATGACAAGAGCATAATGTTTTTCACATAGCTGGTCAGCCTGCTTCTCATTTGGGTCCTACTGTACCACAAGTTAACTCTCCATAATCACCAGCTCTTTGGGCAATCCATAAACTGAGTGGCCCATTGTAAATAGTGTTTTGCTAGCCAGAACCTGCCAATCTAAGTGTCTTTCAATTCTAAGAACCGATTATAGACAACCCTTCCCATCACAAAACTGATCTTCGCTTTTAAAGATGAACCAGGCCTCACTTTAATAAAGAGAGGGAATCCTGGGAGATAAGAGGCGAGTCCCTATCTTATAGACACGAGCTTGGGTCTCAGAAGATCTGGGCTCATTTCCTGGCTCTGCCACTGATTTCATGGGTGATCTCAGGAAACTCATCTCTGTGCCTCAGTTCCCCATTTTTTAAATGGGGATAATACTTTGTCTTTCCTAGATAGACTATAAGCTCTTCCGGGCAGGAACTGTCTCTTAATATGCATACGTACAACATCTACCATACGTAGGCCCTGATTTTGTTTAGGGTCTCTAGGCATTTCTGTAATAATAAAGCTAGACTGCTGACATCTAATGCAGGAATGGCTTCACTTAAGCAATGCATAGCTTGCCAAGTTTATGGCTTTTTTTGAAGTTGTTTCTAGTGTGTCATTCTAATGTTCTACTCCCCCTGGCAAAAGTGAACCAAAAACTGAATCACAACCTGATGTTGATGTCTGGGACATCCTGCGGAGAGCTCCTCCTTCTGAGTATGAGAAAATTGCTTTCCAGTATGGTATCACAGACCTACGGGGGATGCTGAAACGCCTCAAACGCATAAAAAAGGAGGAGAAGAAAAGTACAGGTTGGAGAGCTGTATTTCTTCCTAAAATATCTGTTCTTATCTTATTGGTCATGGGTGTTTCCAATATCAATATTAGTTGATACAGGTGAATGGGGGAGAGGGACATGATTTAACTAGTTCTTCCAACTTTTCCTATGGTCTTTTATACTTGAGATCAGGGCCGGCTCTAGGCACCAGCCAAACAAGCTGGTGCTTGGGGCGGCACATTTTTAGGGGCGGCATGGCCGGCGCCAGAATGCCGCCCCTAAAAATGTGCTGCGGCCGCCCTAGCTCACCTCCGCTGCTGCTGCCTGGGAGGGCAGAGGAGATCCCGAGCGGCCGCGGCGCGTGAAACAGCCGTTTCGCGCGCCGCTGTTCTCCCTCCCTCCCAGGCTTCAGAGCCGCGGCCGCTCGGAGTCTCCCCCTCCCTCCCAGGCTCTCAAACCTGGGAGGGCGGGGGAGATCCCGAGCGGCCGTTTCGCGCGCCGCTGCTCCCCCTCCCTCTCAGACTTGAGAGCCTGGGAGGGAGGGGGAGGAGCGGCACGCGCGGGCGGCCAAAATTGTTTTTGCCTTGGGCGGCAAAAATTCTAGAGCCGGCCCTGCTTGAGATGCCTGTTCCTAAAGATAAGACCTTCACCAGGTCTTCTGAACTACCTCACTATGACTCTTGGAGATTACATATCTTCCTCATTTTGCTAGATTTCCCCCTGTATTATGATAACACTCTGTTATGTGCCTTAGCCAGCAATGGTTCCTTTAAACAGGAGTGGTCAATTTTATTTTCCTCAGAAAACAAGGACTTCTCAGCTACACCCCAGACACCATGGCTTATGTGATCTAATGGGTCTTGTTTAGACTAGGATTTAAAAGTGGGATGTTAGCTAATATTTTAAAAGTCTAGTGTCGACAAGGCACACTGCCTTTAATACATTATCAAGGGAAAGCCTAGTGAGAAATTTAGGCTTTAACTCAACATGTGCTAAATTGGTTAAATTACACACTGCCTTATCTATACTAGATTTAGAACATGCTAATTAGCATGTTAGCTAACGTCATCCTAGTCTAGATCAGGCCACAGAATCATAGAAAAGGATGGAGGGTGACGCATAAGGCATTTGGGAAAGAAAGGTAGAAGGGGGTGATGGCAGATATGGAAAGAACAGAGCAAGGATTAAGAAGATAAACCAATAGGAAAGGTGATAAAAACCTCCTTTCCTTTCCTGACTTCCTTTCCTCCAGATTAGGCTGCAAAGAAAGGAAACCTGGCAAAGAAAAATTATTAATATCTCCTTTTTGTAACGGTTCTTCATCTCAGCATTCCTCCAGAAGCTGGATCCTGCTTACCAAGTGGACAAAGGACAGAAGATCAAGTTAATGGTTGAACTTGCCAACCCAGATGCTGAAGTGAAATGGCTGAAGAATGGACAGGAGATCCAAGTGAGCGGCAGGTAAATTAGAAAAGAGACTGGGAAAGCCTGGAGAGTGTTACGGCTTTGAACAATTGTAGATACCAAGCCATCTTCAGGAAGGGGAGACAATAAAGAAAGAAGGGGGAATATCAGAAGGGAAAGGGAAAGATGGAGGAAGACTATGGGTGTGTCATTGTGGGTGCAGTGCCGGTTAACATGTGAAATGATATTCAGTTTGCAGTTCTCATCACTGTTTCTTTTTCCTCCCTCTCCCCATGCTCACTCTCTGCACATGGAATTGAACACTGCCATCTGCCCACTTAGCAAGTAAGTCCTCAGATTATATCTTGCTGTTTCTGAATGTATTTAAGATCCAGTGAGATTGTCCTTCTTGTGATATGGGACCTATTTAGATGTAACAGGACATCAGCTACAGCTGAAGTGACTTTGTGCTGAAATTCTGTTGAGACATAAGTGGGGGCTAATCAGGCTTATAGTGAGGCTACATGGGAGAACAACACTTGTACTGGCTGGCATTCTAGCAACCATTAACAAGAAGGGCAATATCCTTGTGTAACAGCCCTCGCTCAAGGCTGGTTGGGGAGCACTGCCCAGTGACACACTGGGGGGGAAAGAGGGTTGTTAATAGAGGAACCAGGGCCCTTCCTCTCCACCAGGTTCCAACCCAGGCCCCTTTGAGGGCTATCAGTGATCTGACAGCTGAGGATTCTTAAGGCAGCCCTCCCTGGGCCACTTCCTATCACCTCCCTGCAAGTGTCTTAAGGTCATCATCTGGGATAAGGCAGCATGAGGGTCATCTGCTCACCACAGGCACCTCCAGACAGCAGGATGTAGTAAGGTCTTTCTTCACTCTCAGGCAGAAACGGCCTCCTCCTGTGGTATGGCCCAGCTCAGTCCAAGGGCTTTCCCCTGCTGGGATAGTCCAAACACAAATAAAGGGGACCAATGAAGTCCAGAGTTCATATGAGAGGGCGTGCTTCCCTCTCAGGCTGTCTCTGCAGCAAGCCCTCCCTCTGAGATCTTTTGGCAGTTGTTTAGGGAAGAGATTCTGCCTTCCCTGAGCTTTTTTCTTGTGGAGCTGCCAGTATCCAGTGTGCTCACTTCTTTGGTCTGCCACCACATGAGCTGCTCCCCTGCCTTTTAATTCCTCCTCCAAGTGGTCTATTTGCTACAGATGTAGCAGGGTGGGGCTGTCTGAGCTCAGAATGATTCCTTAACCCCTTGCTGCTCAGTGTGAGGTTTGTATACCCCATCACACCTTGCTTAACTATCTCTTGGTGGTGTAAATATTTCTCTGTGTCCCCCCATCTCTCACTAGCATTCTAGAAGCAGATAACTCTCAGTCTTCCTCTCCCCTTTGCCAGGACAGGGTGGCTGGGCCAAAGTCCTTCCCACTCCTCTCACCCAGGTCTTCCCTCCCTTCTCACATGCATCAGAACAGGGTGGGTAGCTCTAAGGGACAGACTTGGTGAGAATGACACTTAGATTCTGTTTGCGTTTCTTCAGATATATTTTTGAGGCTGTTGGGAATAAGAGGATCCTGACTATCAATCACTGCTCCCTAGCTGATGATGCAGCATATCAGTGTGTGGTTGATGAGGAGAAAAGCTTCACAGAACTATTTGTAAAAGGTGAGTAACTGCCAGCAAGAGAAGCAGACACACTCTAATACCATTTATTGTTACATCCTGCTTCTCTACTCTGAGACTAGTTAATCTCACACAAAAGGACATTCTTAACAACAGAAACAGAGTCTATTATTTACTGAACAACAAGGCATTTTTCTTCACAGTTAAATGAAGACAGATAATCTGTGCAGCAGAAAGTTACAAGCTAACATAACACCTGAGTACATCATAAAAGGGAGACAAAACAAACTTTATGACATATCAGATATTAGGCTATTTCTGCAAAGCATTGTGCTCAGTTTTGGTCATAGCAGGTTAGGACCAGATGCACACCATGAGCCTTTTCTATCTGGAACGGTTTCTGCATTAACATTAATTCAGGCTTGTTAAAATAAAATTACAGTCCCAACCCCTTCCCCAGCCTAACTGCAAAAATGATCAACAATGAAATAGTCAATGCTCACACTGCAAGTGTTATCTTTAGACTTTAGTGTTAACACCCCATGAGATTAGTGGGGGGGGGGGCGGTTACACTTGCTTCACATTTAGAAGACTGTATTTGCAACAAAGAGGACTAGAAATTTACTTTACAAATAAAGCTTAGCTTGTGTATAAGCTAAATATGTTACATAGACTGCACAAACATGTCAAATGGGCCAGGTTTTTAACACCTCTGAATTAGGGTTATGAAGAGTATAAATGAGAAATGATTAATCCCTCATTTTTACTCTGTCCCATAATGTAAGAACAGAGGAGTCACTAGATAAAAATAATGGTGTGAACTGGCATAGGAAATTGCATGCTGCCATATGGTGTGCATTGGTGGGTGCTTTGGAATGGATGGGATTAGTTCACTGCTCCCTAGTTACTGTAGAATGAAAAATGTCTTACCTCAGATCCTGTCCCTTTCCCCCCCTGAGATGCAAATGAAGTTATAGGGATCTTAGTACTCTTTGTATTCTATTATCCAGACCCTGTTTAAAACAGGCTTGTTCATTTCCAGAGCCTCCAATCCTGATCAGCCATCCACTGGAGGACCAGGTGGTGATGGTTGGAGAGAGAGTGGAGTTCGAGTGTGAAGTGTCTGAGGAAGGGGCTGCTGTGAAATGGTAAGGGGAACCTAAGGAAAAAAAAACCCACCTGGTGCACACTCCTCTGTGAGGCACTCTAGGGCTGACACCATTAGTGTGGTTATATTGTCAAGGTCTCTAACACAAAGAAATTCTATTAAATTAGCTAATGGGGTCCTCAAGATGAGCGGCTGGGGCCTGTCCCTGAAGCAATGAGGAGAGGGACAGGGTGGAACTGAGAGAGGAACTGAGAATACCCCATCTGCCCACCTAACAGGGCGAGGAGGAGAAGGAGAGGGGCCAGAACAGATCATAAAGTATTCCTTATGTTTGTTGTTTTATGATGTGTCCAGAATTTCTCGCTCTATAATTCTAGCTTTCTATCGATATGCTTGTTTTGGAATTTTCTATAGTGCCTATTACTTTAGGGTCTAAGTGTTGCACAGGTTCATTAGATCTGCATGGCAAGATCCTAATGGACTTAATGGCATCTTCTGCTCTTCTTGTTAGATTGGTTCAGAAGCACTATTGCCAGTGGTTGGAGGTTTTCTCCCTACACAGGGCACAAGCAAGCATAATGCTTTCGAGGGCTCTATAACAAGCATTAAGAAGTGGCTTCTACATTTCCTTTTGGGAGGTGTAAGCATATGTCCCCCAGCACCAGCCCTAGGTGGCCAGCTAGTGCAGAAGGGGGCTAAGTCCCCATTTCATAGCCGCCTATCTATGTCCTCTCTGGATTGTCTGTGTCACCCCAATGCTCACAGAGCACAAGACCCAGGATGTTGGCATCTCCTGCACAGATGTGAAGCACAGGGATACAGATTCTGGCATTCTAGAAACCATTATTGGTGGTTGATTCTGAGTCTAACTCAAACTAGGGCAGACTAGAAAAAGTGGCATAACACCATCTTCAGGGAATGTGTCAGGAACCCTCAGAGAAGTAGTAACAGCTCACAGTGTCAGGGACAGAAACTCTCAGGGGAGCAAGGAGTGGTCTCCAAGGCAAAGGAAAGTACCTTCAAGGAAGCAGATACTGTCAAAAGGGGAAGGGACTCTCAAGGGAGAAGTCAGCATGCCTCAGGACAAAAGCCTTTCCTCTCCTCTCCTCCTCCTTGTTGTTGTCATCTTCCCTCTGCACAACTCCTCCCAATCAGCCTTCCTCTCTGATTTTGACTCCTGGCTCTCTCTTTCTCTCTTCACAATCTCCCCCACTCATCCTTGGAGACTTCATGTTGACGACCCATCCAACCCCTTAGCTCCACGTTTCATCAGCTTCATGTCTTCATTTGACCTGCAGCCCTGGTTCAATTCTCCCACTCACCAGAAGGACCATTCACTTGACTTGGTCTTCATCAAGCACTGCTCTCTTTCTGATCACTCTGTTGCTGAGTTCCCTCACTCTGGCCATCACCTGGTCTCTTTCATCCTCACCCAGCAACCTCCCAACTCACATCCTGTGACTCGGCCTTTCCGTGACTTCCAATTGATCAGAACCGATGACTTCTCATCTGCTCAGTCCTCTCCTCCCTGTCCTCTCTTCCATCAATTTGGTTATTGATTCTCTCCATGCATTGCTCTTCTCCACCCTGGAGTCTTTAGTCCCTCTCTCCCATTACAAGAGATCCACCCTACCAAACCCAGCCCTGGCTCACCCCCAACATTCCTGGCTCCCCTCCTGCTCTTGCACTGCAGAGCAACTCTGGTGGAAAACCTGTGATCAGGCTGACTTCCTCCATTAGAAATTAATTCTCTTCTTCAATTCTAACATCTTCATAGCTAAACGCTACTTCTCCAACTTAATTGACTCTTACCTACAATCCCAGCTGCCTTTTCACCATCTTTGACTCACTCCTCAAACTCTCCCCTCTTCCTGTTTCCACTTCTCTCTCTGCACAGAGAGAAAATTGACAAAATATGATGTGACCTTCCTCTTTCCCTCATCTCACCTTCCCTTCCTCCTTTCCTCCCCTAAAACTCTCTCTTTCTTCTCCCCATTTACAAATGCAGAAATTTCTCATCTGTTCTCCTCCTCCAACCCATTCCTCTGGCCCAGTAACCCCATCCCATCCCATTTCTTGATCTCTCTCAGGTGCTCACTCTCATCCCCTACCTTACTCTTCTCCTTAACCTCCCACTCTGCTCTGGCTCTTTCCCCTCACCATACAAACATGCTTTATTCTCTCCAATCTTAAAATAACCCACCCTTGTCCCCACTTTCCTCTTCAACTACTGCCCCATCTCCCTTTTCTCTTTCATCTTAAAGCTCACTGAACATGCTATTTACAATTGCTTTCTGGAATGCCTCTCCTCCAATTCTGTCCTAGACCCTCTCCTATCTGGCTTCCATCCCTTCCACTTAACTGAAAATGATCTCACAGAAGTGTCTAATGACCATAGCCAAAAGTCAGAACTAATACCCCATCCACATCCGTTTTGAGCTGTCAGCTGCTTTGACACTGTCACCCATGCTGTTCTTGAAATCTTGTCCCCCCTTGGCTTCTGTGACTCTGTCCTCTTGTAGTTCTCCTCCTACCACTCTAACTGCTCCTTCAGCATGTCCTTCAGACGATCCTTCTCATCCCCCCCTCCAACTTTCTGTGGGGGTTCCTCTGGGCTCTGCCCTTGGTCCCTTTCTTTTCTCCCTCTACATTTTATTTCTGAGTAATCTCATCTACAAACCCAAATTCAACTGCCATCTCTATACAGATGATTCTCAGATATACCACTCTACTCCAGACCCGTCTCCTTCTGTTCAAAATAAAATCTCAGCCTGTCTCTCTGATATCTCCTCATGGCTCTCTATCCATCAGCTCAAGCTAAACATGGCTAAAACAGAGAGTCTAACCTTCCTCCCTAAATCCTCCCCGCAACCTCCTTTATCAATTACTCCAAACTGAGTGTGTGGTACCTAGTTCGACGAGACATATTCACACTAGTGCTGATTGTGCTAGCATGCTAAAAATAGAATGTAGCTGCGGCAGTGCAAATGGCTAGCTGCCTCAAGTGTGTGCCCATCAGAGATGCTAGGTATGTACTTGTCATGGCTAGCCCCTCCTGCAGCCACGTGCACTGTCGCAGCTAGATTCCATTTTGAGCACACTAGCTTGATCAGAGCTAGCACGAGCATGTCTTCTCAAGCTGGGAATCACACTGCCAGCTCGAAGTGAACACATATCTACGGTGGACAACACCAGCATCTGATCTGTCATTCAGGCCCATAACCTGAATGTCATCTTTGACTCAGACCCCTCTTTAGGTCATCGCAACCAGTCTATGTCTAAGTTTTGATTATTCTTTCTGACTAAAATCTCTTAAGATACCACCTTCCCTGTCCATCCACCCAGCTAAAACTCTCAGCCAGGTTCTCATCATTTTGTGTCTGCAACAGCCTTTTCTCTGGGCTTGACAAATGCAATCTTGCCCTGCACATATCCATTCAGAGTGCTGTTGCAAAGATCATTCTCCTAGCCTGTAACTTTGATGACCTCACCCCTCTCTTTGAATCCGTCCACTGGGTTCTTCTCTATGGTATCAAACGTAATTTACTTGTCTTCACTTTCATGGCCTTTCAGGAGCTATCCTCACTCTACCTCTCATCTCTCATTCAGTATTGAAAGATTGATGCCCACCTCTGATTGGCCCATGAAGCCAGGCTTCCTTGCCCACCTGTTAAACTTTCAAACAAATTTTCGTGCTTTTCCCATGCTGCCCCTCACACTTGGGAAAAGCTCCCCATGATATCAGCAAATTTAATGTTATCTTCCTTGAAGTCTCTCCTCAAAACTCTCCTATGCTGTGAAGCCTACTAAAAACTTGACAACTGTTAGGCTGCTGATGTGCTGAGACAACAGCTGATAATGCTGACCAGCACTGTCTCATTGTTTCCTTCTACTCCCCGTCCATATGTCTGCATCCCTCTGTTGTCTCTTGTCTTATACTTAGATCGTACACTCTTTGAGACAGGGACTTTCTTTTTGTTCTGTGTTTGTACACCTAGCACAATGGGGTCCTGGTCTATGACTGGGGCTCCTGGGTGCTGGAATAATACAAATAATAAATAATAATGCACCTATTCTCTTGACCATGCAGAGTCAGTCATTATGCAAATTGGGTTTGTGAGATTGGGATGAGGGGCATTCAGTCCAGGGAGCCCAGCATGTTCAGCATTTTGGTTTACAGGAAGCTGGGATGCTAATCATAGTTGGAGAAGACACTGGGCAATTCTGACATACCAGTTCTTACATGTTCTCCTCAGTTTCTTTTTCAGATGGAATCCTCTCATGCTTGTTAACAGCTGCAGGCACAAGGCTGTCAGCAATTCCCACAATGCCCATGTCATTCCTGGAGAGTGCTATCTTCCATCTGCCCTCTCCAAGGAAGGAACTGAGAATTTAAATAGACCCCCGCCCCACAGCTGGCTACAGTGTATGTTAAAAATACATGCGCGTGCACACACATTGTTGTGCAGTGTCTACTTACAGATGACAATGCATGGGGGGCACTGATCTCTGTCCCTCCCGGAATACCAGGCAATTGCTACTCTCTGATCCTGTGCTTCAGAACCACTCCCCAAAACAGACCCACCACACAAAGTTGATATCTGTGGAATGTGCATTTTATCAGAGAAGGGCAAAGCTGCAGCTGTCTTTGCCTAATAGGGAGTAAGCAGTCAGATAGAGCAGGGGCGGGCAAACTTTTTGGCCTGAGGGCCGCATCCAGTTTCCAAAATTGTATGGAGGGCCAGTTAGGGGAGGCTGTGCCTCCTCAAAAAAGCCAGGCCTGGCCCGGCCCTGCCCCAATCCAACCCCTCCTGCTTCTCGTCCCCCGGCCCCCCCCCCCCCCGGACTCCTGCCCCATCCAACCCCCCGTTCCCTGTTTCCTGACAGCTCCCAGACCCTCTGCCGCCCCATCCAACCCCCCCTCCTTCCTGACTGCCTCCTGGGATCCCCTGCCCCCATTCAACTCCCCTGTTCCCCGCCCTCTGACCGCCCCGACCCCATCCACACCCCTGCCCCCTGATCACTTCCCCTATCTCCCCT